CCCTATATAGGATCCGAACCCGTGGCCTTGGTGTTATCAGCACCGCACTCTCCAGAGTGAGCCACGGGCTGGCCCAAATTAATATATTTCTTTAGATACTTGTAAGTAAAACATGCTAATGAAAGCTTTGTTGACTGGTAGGAAAAGTATATTTATAGGTTGATATTCAGGCCATTTCTTGGGTAGTGTGCAAACCCCTTAATGGTGTGTTATCCCACAGTCTTCCTGGGAGAACTCAATACTCTAAGAACTGTGACAAGGTTGGGAACCCCAAAGCTGCCATCATTTCCTATTACTGTTGTCTGCCTCATTATAGAGCAGGAGAAAATCATGGCAAGTCACTACAGAATATAATCCACTGTAGGAGAATAGAATTTAATACCTCTCTCACACCTGGGCTCCAGTATTCCACAGGTAAGACGCCACAGGTAAAGGGCACTGACATTCATCAAGTTGACTTGGCGAAAAATAAAGAATTGGGGATCCCTTTCCCGCACACAATGTATCCTGTCAATTTACTCCCCCTACAGCCCATTCTTCTATGCAGCAGATCTTTCTAAACAGAGCAATGATATTTGTCATTTCTGTGCTTAAAACCCTCAAATGTCTCCTCCTTTCCCAATGTGGTGGTTTAACTCCTGTCAACTTCTCTGAGCTCGGGTCAAATCTCTTCCCCCACATCCGCTATAGTTCAGACAGACTGGCCTTGTTCACGTTGTATATACTACATGTTACACACATGAGAACTGGCCTCAAGCAGACCAAGCTTATTTCTGTCCTAGAGCTCTTGCATTTGCTTGCCCTTTTGCTTGGAACATTCTCCTAGATTCGCAAAGCTGTGGCTCAGCTCAAATGTCATCTGCTCTGAGCCTTTTCCTGACCACCATAGCTAAAGCTACACCTGTCCACCTGTTCTCCACCCCATTACCCTATGTTAATTTACCTGTACCACTGTTTTTGTTTTTGTCTCCTCCAACTCATTAAGAGGAGGACCTTTGTCTGTCTTGTTCACTGCTATGTCTGCTGTAACTGGCACAAAGTGGGAGCCGAAGAATTTGTTGGATGAATTAATATCATCTTACTCTTGTCTGTAGCAGAAGTTCTTAACCTGGGACACGGGTTTCAAGAGATCATTCCCTTCTCTGCCTCCTCTCTCCATCCTGCTCCCAACTGTAAGGTTTTGAGTATATTTATATGTGCTTTAGGGTGTGTATGAGAAATGTGTGGGAAAACATATTTTTCAGAATCTCAAAGGAATTCAAACAACAAAATGTTAACTGCTACTAGCAGTTTTAATTTATAAAGCACTTTCTCGTACATTTAGTTCTCATTATGTTTATAGAGACAAGTAGTACAGAAATTATCATTTCTTTTTTTTTTTTTTTTCTTTTTGTCTTTTTTATTGACCGGTAATGGGATCGCAACCCTTGGTGTCGCGCCTGTACTGGGGACCGGCAACCGGATCGCAACCCTCGGTGTTGCGCCCACACCGCGCTCAGCCAGTGAGCAGGAACCGGTCTCCACGGAGCCCCACATTCACCTCACCTGGCTCATCTCATTTTCTTTCCCTAACCACGTCCATTACTAAGTTCATCATTCTGCTGTCTAGCCACACAAGCTTTCTAAACAATTGGGTTGCTTTTAGCCTATATCTTCAGCTTTGATTTGTGGATAATTTAGTCTCTTACTTCTTTGACTCTAATATCACTGAGGTCGCTCCAGGAAACATGTTTTGTCTCACTCAGCCACTAGGATCTCCCTTTCCGTAATAACTTCGTATAGCAACACACTCTCCAGTGCGCCACCGGGCCGGCCCAGAAATTATCATTTCTACTTGATAGGTGAAGACATTGAGATGGAGAGGGGCTAAACTTACTATTAGTGATCACACAGATAGTCAGTGATGGAATTGACACAAATCCATTCTTTTGGACTCAAAAAACTGTGCTGTCTGCTGAAAACAAAGACAGAATCTAGAACACTGGGGAAGCAGGTTTGCATTGGTCCTTGTTTATCTTCATTTGCTTCAAAAATCACCAAGCTTAAACACTTTCCCAAGGACTTTCTCATTTAAAGTAGCTTATGAGGCTGAATTAAGTTTTTTTTTTTTAAAAAAAAAAAAGATGACCTGTAAGGGGATCTCAACCCTTGGCTTGGTGTTGTCAGCACCATGCTCAGCCAGTGAGCAAACCGGCCATCCCTATACTGGGAATCTCCTGATGGCTTTGTGTTACACGTGTATAGTTGTGACTGGGAATCTCCTGATGGCTTTGTGTTACACGTGTATAGTTGTGACTGGGAATCTCCTGATGGCTTTGTGTTACACGTGTATAGTTGTGACTGGGAATCTCCTGATGGCTTTGTGTTACACGTGTATAGTTGTGACTGGGAATCTCCTGATGGCTTTGTGTTACACGTGTATAGTTGTGACTGGGAATCTCCTGATGGCTTTGTGTTACACGTGTATAGTTGTGACTGGGAATCTCCTGATGGCTTTGTGTTACACGTGTATAGTTGTGACTGGGAATCTCCTGATGGCTTTGTGTTACACGTGTATAGTTGTGACTGGGAATCTCCTGATGGCTTTGTGTTACACGTGTATAGTTGTGACTGGGAATCTCCTGATGGCTTTGTGTTACACGTGTATAGTTGTGACTGGGAATCTCCTGATGGCTTTGTGTTACACGTGTATAGTTGTGACTGGGAATCTCCTGATGGCTTTGTGTTACACGTGTATAGTTGTGACTGGGAATCTCCTGATGGCTTTGTGTTACACGTGTATAGTTGTGACTGGGAATCTCCTGATGGCTTTGTGTTACACGTGTATAGTTGTGACACACTCTCCCGAGTGAGCCACAGGCTGGCCTTGAATTAAGTTTTTTAGTGAAAAAATATTACCATCAGCTGTACCAAGGCAGTCTTCCCATGCAGTCCCGGTCTGGTACGGGCGCAACACTGAGGGTTGCGATCCATTGCCGGACACGAAAAAAAAAGACAAAAAGGAAAAAAAATAAAAATAAAAATAAAATAAAATAAAATAAACCCTGAACACAAATCTGGCAAGAAGGGGTTGTGATGTTGGAAAGAAAAATGTTTTCTGGCTGGCAGCTCTTAACATACTTATCTGAAGGCTGATAGGACCTTTGGATCATTCCCAACAACTGATGTTTTCCACTATATATATATACATATACATATCTGGCTGGCAGCTCTTAACATACTTAGCTGAAGGCTGATAAGGACCTTTGGATCATTCCCAACAACTGATGTTTTCCACTATATATATATACATATACATATATGTGTGTATATATATATGTCATCTGAAAGAGCCACCTATCATGAGTGAAATGCAATTCAGTTTATTCCAGAAGGATGAAAGGGATTCACTTCTGCTGGAATTGGAACCTACCATTCTTCAGAAATCTAGGTATTTCACACTAGATTATGAAGAGTACAAAATCTTTAAAAACAGATGGGCATTTTGTTTTTCCACAGATCAAAAACTCTGTGCCTATATTAGTGTCTATTATTTCTTGAAATGGATTTTGCTCAAATCAGGTCTAAGCAGCACTGAATGGTAAATAAGAGTGTGCAGAAGGAATAAGATAGGAGAAAAGAGCACTAATACTTAGCACCTTTTAAATTTTAGTGTGTTTCACCTTCCACAAAAAACATCCTAAATGGCTTAGCTGGTTAAGAGTATTACAAAGAGATGGCTACAGGCAAGGTTTTAATCTTCTTAGTGGCCTGTTTATTTTGCTTAGCTCTGTTCCATGTGGGCACAGATTCATCTCTCTCAAACTTGGGTTTCTAAATAAAGGTAGAACAGGTGACAAGGCATGAACAAAACCATCACCAGTGAGAGGAAAACATAACTGGAAACTGCTTCTAATGGAAAAGGAGCATTTATGCAAACACAGACCTTAAAGGCATTTCCTTTGGTCTTTTCATTCATTCTTTCTGTGTGGCAGATGCTGAGATCACAGAAAGAAACCAGATACAGCCTCTACCCACAAGGAATTTGGTGTAAAAAGAATAGTGTTGACAATGCAAGTCCTGTAACTGAGCTATGCAGAGAGACACCCAACCCAACCTGGGAAGGCAGGAGGGAGGGTGGGCAGAAAAGGATTTCCAGAGAATGCGGCAGAAGCTGAAGGACAGAGTGAATGTCACCTTGAACAAATCCAGCAAATGATGGAGTGGCTAAGTAATGCAAATTAAAAGACCAACATGCCACTTAAAAAAGAAAGGTAACTCAGTTGGTTAGAGTGTGGTGCTGATAACACCAAGGTCTAGGGTTTGATCCCTGTACCACCCAGCTGCCAAAAAATAAAATAAAAATAAAATAAAATAATAAAATATAATATGGAAAGTAAGAATGGAATATGAGATCTAAAATAAGTAATAGGAAAATAAGTAAATAAATAATTTTTTTGGAAAAGTGGGAAGGACTGTGCAATAAGCATTTTGGAATCTCTAATGTATGTAAGATCACATCAACTTTTACCTTACTACTCATTTCTGTGGTCAAAGAAAAACAACAGATCTTTGACCCCATAACTAAACTGGAATGAGAATAGGTTTAGAATTTTAAGTCTCTGTAAAATAAATTATCTTTAAAAAAAAAACAGTTTTAAGTCTCATGACAGAGCCCTTTCCCCATAAGATATACAAGAGATGTGATTTAAATGAACTCAACCAGCTGTACAGGTTTCAAATTGTGGATTTACACAAGAGAAAACAGGGTGATAGAAAGCTCCTCTTAGGAAACACCACAGTTCTTTTATCAGGCAATATCAGTGAAGTCACAGGCTCCATAAAAGAGAAACTAATTATTTGTAAAATGAGCATATTATGACATATAATCCCATAGTCAAAATGTAAGCTGGATCTAGTGAAAACAAAGCTTTGTAAGTAGTGAGACATCACTGCCACCCTGTGTTAAACAGCCTTCATTGCATTCACGTTATTGCCGCAAAAGATCACAGGTGGGATTCTCAACAATTACAGAATATAGCTTTATTTATAGAATCTTACAAATAAACATTTACAGTCCACATAAGTTATTTTATTTTTGAATTTCTTCTCATAACACCTGAGTTATTTTAAAAAATACTGTGATGGAATTGCAGAACTGTAAAGGGAAATACGAACAATAGAAACCTAATCTCTCTCTTTTGCAAAAATCTGACTTTTTTTTTCCAAGCAGATTTCCAGCGTATTACCATCTCTTTGGAAGAGGACCTACTAAAAACAGGTATTAGGCTACCCAAACAGAGAGACCTTCTTTCTTAAACACAGGGTGAAGGACCATGAGGAATATCCCCAAGTTGACACCAGACACAAAATACCTTTGGAGGCAAGGACAGAAGGCAACCCACACGTCAGGGGCCAGGCGAGAAGTGGCAGAAGCCCTGTCGCTGGCTGACCACGCCTGCCTGTGACATATACTTTCCTTGCTAATGTGAACAGGAGCTGATCCTTCCAGAAGAAGAGAGGTTCAAGATGCTACTGCCAGGGGTAAAAAAAGTCCTCAAGACAACTTGCTACTCCTTAGACTTCTAATATGTACAAATGCTTAAAACAGCAAGTTCAACACTTAAAAGTCAAAAAGAAATTGCCACATTTCCAACTCATGAGGCAAATCTGTTGCCAAGGGCAACTTACAATCAGTCGGACAATGAGCGTCTCCACCCCTCCTAAGCTCCAACTAGGACTGGCCTCGGCACCAATTACAGGTTCAAGATTTCCCTTTGAGGCAGCCATCTATTAAAGGAGAGTTCTTAATATAGGTGTGCAGGAAAAGGGAAAGCACTCTACTATTTCCTACTTTATTTTTCAATTTGTTAAATATTATATTTTTGAGCGCCTCCCCTAAACTAGAAACCCACTAACTCTAATTTCATATTCTACTCCAAGACAGAGGGTATTTTTAAGGAATGACAGGATCTGTAGGGAATGCTAAAATTATAAATACATCAATGTGAGTTAGCTAAAGCAAAATCTTCCAGAAACTTAAATTATGAGTGTTATTTTCTGCTAGCTCCTAAAAGCAGTTAGAGAAAAACAAAACAGAGAAGATAAAGAATCGCTTTAAAACAATAACCACAATAATAATGATAATATAAAAAGTTAGATTCCAACATTCTAATATTCAATTAGTTCTTTGGTAAAACTGGACCATAATCCTACCAGGAGTCAGTCCTGATATTTAATCTAGAGTCTTGATCATTGAAGTTTCCCTCCTTCGTCAGCCTATTCTCAAATCTATCAAAGTCAACAGGCAAGATAAGGAGGAAGTATCACCAGCAGTTTTCCCACTCAGGTTCTTTTCAAGATTATTCCTGGCTTGAGGGATGTTTCCCAAGAATAAAAAACAAAATAGATGCTGTTTTTAATTACTCGTAGTGGACAGTTTTTCTGTGTAAGAACAGAAAAACTCAGCTACTGGCAATGAACCAGTACTCGTCAGTTATGCAAATGAATCAGTTTGAAAATACCGCCCCTGGGCTATGACTGTGGGCACCGTTAAGAAAGGCTTCTGGAGAGACTGGCTCCCCACAGTGGCTAAAGAATCTCACATTATCAATATGATAATAATAAATCAATTCACCTAGTGAACCTGGAGATTGAGCTCCCCTCGAAGCCAGAGTTCTGGGGTGAGGGCTCCACAGTGCCTGAGGCTGGTCTACAATTTCACAGACAAGTATTTCCATTCATTTTCTGGAGAGAATTAAAGCAATTCATACTCAATTCAATACAGGATTCAAACTTTTTGGTTTGGGGTGAGGGAGACAGCAGGAACCTCTCTGCAGCATAATCATTAGGGCCTCCATTCTACAAACATCTACAGTGCCCCAACGTAAGTTTTTGACCTTATATTTCAGAGTCCCGTATTACTCATACTTTTATTTATGTAATTAGCAAATCTGAAATTTTGCCTGCACTGATCCCATTTCTGATTCCCCTTGTCTAAGTAGAACATAAACTGCCCTCCAGTTCTATAAGTCAACTTGACACTCTGCAGAAGTCTTGTCCACGGGAGATAGGTTTGCACAGTCTCCGCTCTCCTCTAATACAAACTTCTTCAATGTGCTCAGAATGTGCTTCTAGGGAGTCTCTTAGAAGATGGGAGTGGGGAAGGGGAGGTGGAAATCACAGCAAAACCTATTGTTTTCTTGCAGATCTCCTGACTCTCCATTCTGTCAGTGTTAACCTGAAAGAAGAAGAGGTCCAGGCAACTGAACCTCCAGACTAGCTCACCTTGACAGCCAGGAAACATCAGGTGTGGCCACAGAATCAATATCCAGCATCCCAGCAGGAACAAATGAGCACCAGGACAAGACACACCTCATGGGTTCTACTTCCCTGCTCCCTCGGGATGATCCTTGCCTGTACTCTTGCTCTGGTCCTCTGTTCTGACTTCTAGTTCTCTCTGAAAGAAGTCATAGGCAACTGAACAGACTTTGAGAAAATAGGAAGGGTTCCTGTCTCCTATCTCTTCTCTGTAAGAAAAGGTGAACCCATTTCAAAATGGGCCAGCTTGAGGTCCAGGGTTCACATGTTGATTCACGGGCCCCAAACTATGGATTCACCACCTGATATTTCTAACCACTGGTTATCTATTTGCATTACAGGGTAATGAATTCAAAACCTTTCAGCACTGGTTCCAAGAGAAAGAAAAAAGTTAGTCTTGTCTTGTAAGCTGCATTCAGGACCCAGAGTCACTGAGAAAACAGGGAGAGGTGAGGGTGAGAGGCACTACCTAGAGTCTGGTTACCAGGGTAGCTTATTCCTAAGGCAGAGCATCTTAAAAACAGCTGACATCTGAATGCAGGAATATAGTCTGTGTCCGTTTTTAACAGAACTGCCTCTTCCATGGTGCTTTGTGGATGCCGAGTCCTTGGGCTAGAGACAGGGCAGCCCAGCGCCCGACTTCCAGTGCCACTGGCTCTTGGCAGGGCCCTACCCGATCTGGATCTGTCCTGAATACATAGTGAGGACCAGCATGATGGTGAATCCAGTCAAGAGGCCCAGGTTCTGGATAACAAAGGGGATCAAGACGCTGCCCTTCCTTTCATCCTCCTGGCAGACCTCGTTCATCTCGGGAAACTGAGAAAGAAGAAAACAATTCCTTTCTTAACCTTGCAAGTCCAGGGCAATTCTGTGGTTGAGATATATATCAAATTGGTTGACAAAGAAAATTAACAACAACAGCAGCTAGAACTTGAATGTAAGAGCCTTACTTCCAAGGTTTACAACTATCTACTTACTAGGTAGGTAAAACAAAGTTCTAAATATGCATGCAGCCCTGGATGTGTTTAGATGCTGGCTAAAAATAAATGCACCCTGATAAAAAATAAACTTCTTTGTGGACTTTGAAAACACTTGAAAATATCTTTTTGCTACCAAATTGTTGTCACCTCTTTGGGAAATTGAGCATCTGTGTAAGGGGACAGAGAATGGAGCTACAACGTGGCTATGATGTAAGGCCTCGTGCTGCTTGGCCAGCAAGCCAGGCCGAGGCAGGCCAGACAACTATGAGACCGTCAGGTAATGCCAAAAAAATCCTACCCATGAAGCAGGCTCCCCACAAGAAAGGAGAGAATCTAAAATGTTTCCATGGAATAAGGCTGGATTAAGGTGGTCATTCTTATCACCTCATCAAAAACATTATTTTCGAAGGATATGAAAAAAGAATTCATGTGAACAGGTCAAAGACCATGTCATGCCAACAAGGAAAGGAAATCAACATCATTAGTTACACAAAAGATGCAACAGATCAGATATTTCACTAGTAAATTCAAACTACCTAAATGGTTAGCAAGAACAGTACAATGTATACTTTTACACACTGCTGATAACATACAAAGGTTAAGCTCTTTTAGAAGGCAGCTTGGCAATATGTATTAAAAGACTAAAACCATGTGTCTGCCTTTTGAGGCAGCAATTCTAGTTCTGGAATTAAGGTACATCATCTCATGTAATAATACCAGCCATTGAAAAGGATGTTTTCAAAGAATATGCAACATGGAAAAATGTCTATGATATATTAAGTAAAAAAAAGCAATCAGGACATAGAATTGTATAGTCAGTGTGATTATAGTTATTTAAAAACAGATAAACACAATGTATTGACATAAAAAAGAAACAAACCAAAGTGTTCATTATAATTGTTGTTTTGGGAGTAGAATGATTATGAGCAATCAGGACATAGAATTGTATAGTCAGTGTGATTATAGTTATTTAAAAACAGATAAACACAATGTATTGAGATAAAAAAGAAACAAACCAAAGTGTTCATTATAATTGTTGTTTTGGGAGTAGAATGATTATGGAAAATTTTCTTTCCTTTCTTCCCTCTCACCCTCCTTCCTTCTTTTTATTTAATCTATATAAATCTATAATATTTAAGTAAAGACCCTAGTTTGAGTATGATCATTTTCTTTAATGACATATGCTAAGAGAAACATAAACTTTTCCTCCTTTAAAATCTAATGCCCCCCTAAAAACCACTGAATTGGATACCTTAAATAGGGGAATTGTGTGTTATGTGAAAGATATCTCAATAAAGCTATTATCAAAAAGAAACAAACTACCTAACGTTCCCTTAGCCATCCTCCCATCCAACAAATTTAATAATCTGGCCCAATTTTGCCTACATGGCATAAACTGTGGAAGGCTTACCATATCAGCGAGAGAAATATATAAGAACATGCCTCCAGCCAGTGCGAAGATCCAGTTGGCAGAAAAGTGGCTGCCAGCCAGAATGCCAAAGGCCAAACCCACGTAGCAGCAGCAGGCAGAGAGGAAGTTGAAGAAGAGAGCCTGCTGGATACTCATTCCAGCGTTGAGCAGGATGACGAAGTCTCCTGCAGGAGACAGAAACACTGATGACGTCAGACTGCTTAAACTGTGGACAAAGTCTGGGAGAAAATCAACACAGCCCTGGACTAGAGACTGAAGTGACAGGACTCAGGCACCTTCATCTTCCTGCGCAGGAGCTGCCTCTACCTGCCAAACGTGTCATGCACTTCCAGCCTACAGGCTGAAAATAATTCATAGGATTTTTAAACTAGATGATCAACTAGCAATGGCCCCCTTTCTCTTTTGATGGATGGTAAAATAGGAGGAACTTCCTTCCTCACGAGTATAATGGATGGCACTTTTAGGAAACAAAATTGAGATGGAGAGAAGTTAAGTAATTTACACAAAGTCATAAGCCAATAAATGGCCAAGCCAGGATTTGACCTTGAGTCGTCTCTGAACCCCAGAGCCCTGGCTTGTTACACTCTCTCCCTGATAAAACTAAGTACCTCCTAACGCCTGGCTCATCTACTTCCTCCACCTGCCAGCCTTGGGAAGATTAACAGGATAGAAGAGATAACCTTTACTGAGCACTTAGAATAGTGTGTGGCACATGGTAAGTCCTTTGCACCATTTGTTTCCCTTTAATCCTCACAATAATTCCATAAGGGAGGTACTATTATCAACCCCACTGCATAGGTGAGGAAACTGAGCCACAGCACATATGGCTAAAGTGAAACGAACACCCCTGTTAACAAATAGTGGTTTGGGGCTGGCTGGTTGCTCATTCGGTAGAGTCAGTGCTGATAATCATCAAGGTTCAGATCCCTGTACCGGCCAACCGCCAAAAAAAAAAAAAAAAGTGGTTAGATTTCGCACAGCTTAGGAAGTGTGTTAATTAATTATGATAAGCATTGTGAAGTGGGGGGAGATGACAGAGTGGCAAGGAATCAGCCACATAAAGGGTGCCAGCACCAGAAACGAGGCAGCACAGTGGAATGGGGCATGTGCGCTTACCTAACTCGTGGGGGAACTCCTCACAGAGGATGGCCACTGAGGTGCTGATGCCTTGGAAAACAGACACAGTGAAGGAAGCACCGATGGCCAGGCCATCGATGAAATTGTGAAGGCCGTCGCTCAGGGTGATCATCCAGGCCAGGGTGCCAATGTCAGAGTAGCGGACACCTTTTAGCCAGTAACAGGCGCTTTGGGAAGCTTGCAGGTCCTACAAGAAAGCACATTGCCATGGACCACAGAGTCAAAGTGTGCAGTACGCCTTAAAGGCAGGCCTGAGTCGACAAGGCCATCCCCTCCTAAAGGCTCCCACCAAACAGCTGATGGCCCACTTACCTGCACAGACAGTGAGCCCACAACGACCTTCTCATCTGCCACAGGGGCCTTGCCATCCAGCTCACTGTTGCAGTGTTGAGGAATCATGTGGTCCAGATCCCCATTCTGCAGCTTCTCCATCACCCCCTCCTCCTGGTCCTTCTCGGAAGGAAGCGTCTCAGAGGCAAAATGGTTATGTCCATGATGATGCTGGAGGGGTGAAAGGAAGGGGATCAGCATGACACTTACCAAAACCACAAACCTAACTGAGTGCCTACTCAGGGTAAGTGCTCCAAACACTGGGAAGACCTCATTCCTCCCATCAGAAAAAATACAAGCAGGTAACACGTGCAGAAACGTAGGAAAAGCTGTTGGTGTTAAACACCAAAGGACTCGGTGTTGGCAGACAATCATCCCAGTGAGGTGGCCACTGCTCAAAGTATTTAGAGCTCCTCCTTTGCAATGGCTGATTTTGTTCAATTCAGTAACTAGGGAATATCTATACGCCAGGCACTAAAGATAACTTTTTGGAACTACGCTATAATAATCAGTCCTGTTTCATTGAGGTCATACTTTATACGTGATGAATGTATGTTACCATGCCCCTCTCCCACGTGTAAATATATAAATAGTTATTAAGGAAATAATCTAGAACAAAACAAAAGAGGTAAACTGCTTAGTAAAAGGCACATTGGCCAGATCTAGTTTCTGATCTGGCCTCACCCCCGGCTGATGTCCTCACAAGGGGAAGTAGAATTATCTCATGAATTTTGTAGTTTTTAATCCATGGCGGGAGGCTACTGTCTAAACTCACTGTAGTGAGTTTACAAAACACATCAACATTTTCAAAGTTGGGTGTTTTCCTTAGAAGAACGTTTTACCAACAACCAGGCCTCACCTCATTTTTCTGCTTAAGAAGCATCTTCAAAATCTTCTCTGTGAAAAAGAAAAGATAAAAGCCCCCGAACACTACTGCAGACTTGGAGACATAATAATCTTCCAGAGGGTTGAAACCAAAAGCCTGTGGACCCAGGAAAACAAAATGAGTTTAAGGAAAAAAAAAAAAAAAAAAAAAAAGCTGGTTCCCTCTCAGCTTGTAACTACCTCCTTGAATCAGACATACTGGAGTAAATGCCACCTACCTACTCTCTTTCTAGCAAATCTAATCCTTGATGCTTCCCTGATGTCACATTACCAGACCTGGAAGGTTCTCTCTAATTTATTTTCTAATGCAAAAGACAGATCATCATCAGAATTTTAATCTCAGGAAGGTTAATGAGGACTCTGTCATAATTTCTCTTGGTGCTTTACATCAAAAGCATATTCTGTCAGCAAATTCCATATTTAAGGAGAAGACACTTGTGTTCATTTTCATGTTATCTAGTGTCCCTGGCTGATCTGCCTGTAAACACAGAGGGTGTAATTACACTTTCTAAAATGGGAAACCCATTCTCCGGTTTAAGAGTAAGAATTGCAGCCTCTTCCTGACCACAGGCCTCCCAGTGACCACAAAGCCAAGAAAGCAGACTGTTGCTGCAGGCGCCAGTTTGGGGGGTTTTGAGTTCTTTCTAAAAACTTCACTTATTAAAGAGGGTTGGGGGAATCCAATGGCAAGAGGACAGGAGTAAAAATAGAATTCTGTTCTAAGTTAAGCTCCTGATTGATAGCGGGATCTGACCTGCTCCTCTATCTTCTGACAGGAATAAACTCCAGCCCTCTCATGAATAGGTCAAAGATAAAAGTGATCATAACCATGAGGAACTCTGGGCTATTTAAAAGGTAAGTGTTTTCCCTTTATGTTTTAAAGGGACCAAATTCAATCACTACCCCTTAGTGTAGTTTTCTAAGAGACACAAAGGCCAAGTTCTAGGGTAGACACAACACATTTAGGTCGATTTTCCAGGAGAGTCAGATCATCTTAGGGAAAACCAAAGTGTAAACAGGTAACTAAATCCTCTCCACAAAAAGCCATGAAGGATGGCAGAATACAAAAGCATGGCTTTAGGAATCATACAGGGGCAACAAGGAAAGTTTTGGTGGATATTAACAAGGGGGAGACAAAAAGGAAAATCAGAGAGAGACAAGTAGGGAGGGAGAGAGAAATAGAAAATTTATTAGTGATTTCAGTCTGATAAAATTTCCTTCAATCAGTTCAGAAGAAATGAAGAGGAATTCACGGTGGCCTCTGAACCCTGTGACTACCGCCCCTGCTGCCCTTGGTGGCTCCAGTCACACCTACCAGCCAGGGTGACTGGCGGGGTGGGGTGCTGCCTTGTCCCACCTCTGAGGTGTGTGCTCAGGCCTGTCACAGAGGCTGCCCAAGACAGACTTTGGACTCGAGGGCTGGCTCTCTTTTACAGTAAACAAAAGTGGAAAGAGACTGATCATCATGTCACTGTGTTTGCTTCCATACATCCCATCCACATCGTGAAGGCACACGGGACACTACCTGGACACAGATTGGTTTGTGCAAGACACAACAAAGTCAGATGTACAGGGCAGAAGGGACAAAGAACCTTTAAGACCTGATGCCTGTAAAATTTCTTAATTTCTCAGTTTTTGTCTGTTTGTTTGTTTCCATTTGCTTTCAGAGGGATTCAATCATATAGAACAGAGTTCCAGGATAAACCCGGTCATAAAAAATATTTCCTTTAGCATTTCCCAGTGTGCTACACATTGGGCTATGGTCCAGGCCCAAAAGAGGGCAGGACAGAACTGTGCCAGGATGAGACACCCCCCCAGCGAGCCACAGGGGCGGAGCGGGTATGATTATGGCATTTCCGTTCAAACAGGCACCGAGGCATTTTTATTTCGAATCTTTACAAGATTAATAAATTCAATTTCTGGAGCTGAAAAAATAGCCCAAGATGAGGTCTTCCCTGAGAAGTGCTTGCTAGATCCATGCGGGATTCTGCGACAGCATCAAGATGGTGAGCCTTCGACCAGATTTCTTCTCTCACTAAGAAGGAGAAGTGCAAGGCCTGGCTTCCCACCTGCTGTCTTTTCTGCATTAGTCTTTTGATTAGGAAAGGCCGGAAGCCACTGTCACGGTTCTTTTACATGAAAGGCAGCTTCCTCCATTCCCAAAGGGGTTTGACCCATGTCTGCACATTATCATGCCCTTACAGCAGCGTCCTTGCCTGGGCTGAAAAGGTGGGCAGACTGTCACCTTGGGTCTTATTGTTATAGCTCCTCAGTGATAACAGTTAAAAACCAAATTAACAAACATATCAAAACAGTCAAGTAAGGGTACCAGGATGTCAGTCTTCTCAGGACAAAGTCAAGATGCAAGGCAGGAAGGATTGAGTGCCCCTTTCATTTATTTTGTATTTTTAATTTTGTTTGTTCTTGTTCAGTAGTCTTTGTTCCATGTTTGTTCTCTATGCTACCAATTATGGCCTGCTTAAAAATAAGGATCACTCACTTTTTAGGCCAATTGTACGTATCAGTTAGTAACCTCTTTTCCTTCCACCTCATTCCAGATGGATAATCTCTTGGTCCCCACACCTGAGTCCTGCCAGGCTTCTCCTTAGAACAGAAGGCGTGTGTCACACCAAGGGCCTGGGCAGCACCCCCGAGCTGTGGCTCTCCTACAAATGGGGCTTAGGAAAGGAGACTGACAGATGCCCAGCAGGGAGGGCAAAGGCTAAGAGCCTTGCATCTGACATCCACTGAAGAGGCTGGAGGCAAACCTGGGTGCCCAGAGGAGTGACAGAAGGCCCCTGAGATCCAGAGTTAGAAGTCACTTGTGGCCCGAGATAGGAGGGATAGGTCCATTTTTCAGGCGGCGGTTGTCAGATGCCTCAGGGTGCAGGGTGGGGGTAAACATCAGCCAGAGGGGGGGCTTGGCTATGGTGCCCTGGGAAAGAGGATGCGCACGTGTCTGTTCTACTGCACCTCTGGAATGAGCTGGAAGAGCGCGTTAGAGAACAGCGTTCCAATGGACAGGGCGATGAAGTAAGTGAGCACACGTCTGAAAAACGCTTTCTCCATGCACGGCAGCACGAGGACTCCCAGGAGAGAGGCCAGGTTAATCAGCGAAACGCTGAGGAAACCAAAGCCCCACACTGTGGAGGAAGAAGAGCAGATGGAGGGCCTCTGTTACTGAGGGTGGGGGCACTCTGAATTCAGGGTGATCGGGCAGACAGAGATCCACCTGCATCAGTAAACAGCTGTTGGGTCCATCTCTTACTGGGTTCTGTGGAGAAGCCTAAGAAATATACATCAAAGTTGCTATCCAAAAGCAGTTTACCTTTCCAATGGAGAAGCTGCAAACACCACAAAGGGGTAAATATCATATAAGTCAAACAACGACAGCAGGAAACACTAGGAGACATAACACAGGCAGCACAAACTGGGTACCAGGAAGCACGGAGCACACACCAGCGCTACAGGGTTCCAGAAGGCCAGCCAGGGGCCTCAGGAGCTGTGCACACTCACAGACCATGGCGAGTCCCCTGTGGCTACAGCAGAGCGGGCCAAGAGCAGACTCTGTGAGGTGTTCAAGGTTAAACTGAAAAACCAAAGCAGTGGTCTCCTTATGGTTTAACGAAAACCAAAATGAATAGTGGAAGGCTGGCCGGTTAGTGCAATTGTCAGAGCACCGCTTGGTAACACCAAGGTCAAGGGTTTGGATTCCTGTGCCAGCCAGCCACAGGAAAAAAAAAAAAAAAGAAAGAAAGTGAACAAAAAAGGCATCCACAGGCTGGTCAAACAGTCCAACACTCTGAACGCTCCCCAGCCACACTGCCCGGGAGTCTGACAATGTGCTAGGAGTCTCGTGCATACTAAACATATCAGTACAGCCATCACTCCCAGCGAGCAGATGTCAGCTTGGCACGGCCCCGCAGCTCACGGGAGAGCAGGCTGCGGCCCGCCTCGCCTGGCTTACCTTCGATTGTGCTCGGCCTCCCCTCCTCTGTCTGCTCGTTCTCCTCGTTCTCCTGGTTCTCAGAGGTACAGGCCCGGGAATCCAGCTGCTGGAGGATGGTGGGGCAGAACTCCTGGAACTCACTCCTCCCAATGTGTGACTCGTTGCTGAAATTGTGCACAGCGAAGAGCTCTCCAGAACTAAAGCACTGAAACAAGGGAGGGGCAGAGAGCCTCTGAGAACCCAAGGTCATGCCTTGCCCAGGGAAGCAGCAACCCACTTAGCTTTCCAAGAGGAAAAGAGAAGACAGAGGATGTCCAAATTTCAGGGAATTTGTAGATTCATCTCTAAGAATGAGAACAAGGTAGTCCCTCAACTTGAAAAACTGATAAGTAATCTTAGAGATCAGCCACCCACAAAGCACACCTGTCTGTAAACAGCTGCCTGAGAAATTTTAGGAACCAGATTCCAATCATTGTGACCAAGGTGTGCATACCTGAAGATACAAGCTTCATCTAGATACCAAATCTGGCTGCATATCGCAATAGTCCAGGGAGCTATTATATTAAACTGCAGATTCCAGATGCTTCTCAGTACTGGCAGGTAGAGAGGTGGGGCTCCTCAGAAACTACAGATGACCCAATCAGACCAACAGTGGGGAGTATTAGTCCCCTCAATCATACAGTACTGTCCTCCTCTTAAAGGATGTGTTGACAGAGGTTAGGGAAGGAAAATCTAAAGATTCAAAGCCAGCATGGAGCAAGCATGGGCTGGCCAGCAGAAACCTTGGGCGGTATCAGTTAAGTGGTTCTCAGGAAACGTTCCTTTGAAACACTGCTGTTCTACTTCTAATTATACTTTGTACACGTCAGTCCTTTTCCGAGTTTGGATTTACTAAGAGTCAGCCTCTGGGTGTGCTAACAAGATGAGTTTCTGAGTCTATAAAGCTGAGGGCTGGACTCCGGCGACCCCAGGACACTCCCTGCTGCAGCCCTGGCAGGCCCTGAGACCCTGGTGGAGGCCCTTGGGGGTCCAGCTGCAGCACTGACTCCAACACCAACCATGCTCGGGGGGTTCTGCACCGGCACCACATGGTCCCGTGTCCACTTTCTCTCTCCAAACTCTACTCACCCTTCAAGGTGTAGCTCCAGGACACCTCGTCCAGGAAGCTTCCTCGATGATGCCAGCACGCACTCATCTCCCCCTCTCATCTCTGAATCCCACAATTACTGTCCAGCCCACCAAGTGTGATGCTTCATTTTAATACTAGCTGACTTTGTCCTCTGCTGGTTGAGCTCCACATCCTGACAGTAAACTCCTTGAATATGACTCATTTTTCTCTATTTCTCACAACACTCAGTGCAGGGAACAAAGTAGATATATAAAGACTTTGTTGGGTGGCTTATATTTGGCTGCCACAAATAGCCTCAGACTCTGATTAGTCAAGATAATATGGAAGAAAGAACAGAGAACCAGGAACCAAAAGACCTGGGTTCTAGTTGTGATCCCTCTGGGAACTCACTGGGGACCCTCAGTGTTCTATCCTATAAAGAAGAGAATTCCACCTGCACCTAGACGGACTGCAAGGCTCCCCTGGGATAGGATGCAAAGGGCTTTGTAAACTGTAAACTCTATTAGAAAGGCTGTCCTGGGAGCTGCAGCTTACCAGCAGTTCTAGGTGATGCAAACACAGCTCTGAGGAAGAGTCTGGGCAGGTGAAAACCCCACTTCACAGCTACCTTTTTTTAAGGGCTTCAAAACACCATGGCAGGTGGCCAGGAGGCACTGCTGGAGACTGAAGATTTGCTGATCCAGACAATGAGTGAAAATAACTGGCCTGTCTACTCTGTCATCAAGACCTGCCTGCCCCCCTCACCTATACCAGGCTGCTTGGCCACCCTGTGCCTGACCAGACAGGGACACGAAGCAGAGCTGTGAACATGGAAGGGAGTCCTACCGTTGAGAGGTTCCTCGGTCCCTGCGTGAGCTGGGTGGCGTTATCCCGGCCCACTCCCACATCCAGGTGGTTGAGCAGGGCCTTAAGCTGCTGCAGAGTGAGGCTGTCACCCTTGCTGTAGCGGTGCATGAGATCCTGCAGGAACGAGGCAGCGCTGATGGTGGGCATGCCTGGCGATGAGGCGCGGGCCTCAGGGACAGCTCTCCATAAGCTGAGCAGGGCCAGCAGGAAGCAGCTATGGAAGGCGGGGCACGGCAGCTTCATGGTGACCAAATAAGCCTGCAAAAGCAAAGAGGCAGGTGAAGGCGAGCCTTTTTCCACGCCCCCCGTCTGTCAGCAACGGCGCCAGACCCCAGACACGAGGCCTCTCCTCCAACTCTGAAGGTGCTCAGTATCGACATCTGACTCTTCTCTAATTCCTCTGTCCAACCTTTGAGAAAAACCCTTCTTTTCAAAGGATAGAATAAAAATGGATAAAAAGGACACATTAAAGAAGTTTGGCTAAATTAAAAAATAAACAGGGATGTGGTTATGATTGTTTAAAAGGTCATCTTTTAGAGATACTGAAATAATCATGGATTAAATGATCTTATCTGGGATTTGCTTCAAAATAATAAAGGGGGGTATGTTCACGGGGGTGAGACAGCACTCGCCACTGTTGAAACTAAGCCCCAGGTTGATGGGACCACAGACTCTTCTGTCTACTTTTGTACATGTTTGAAATTCTACAAAATAAAATGTTATTAGAAAATAAATATTACAAATAAAAGAGGAAAAAATACAGACTGGCAAAAATATACACCATCAAAGATGATAAAAGTTTATTTCTATACTATATAAATTAGTAAACAAACATGAAAAACACTCAGCCTCTCTACGATATTGAGAATACAAATTTAAAACTTGGCTGATACCATTTTGCTACTTATTAAAATAGCAAAATAGATTTTTCAGATATAACACGTCTTGTTAGTGAAGCTAAACAACAGAATAAGATATCGCCCATGATTGAATTAATAGTGATAATAAAAATATTTAAATCCTTCAAATTAACAATTCTGCTTCTAGAACTTACCCTAATAGAAGTAATCCAAAAATAAAAAGGCTATATGCAAAAAGATGTGTTATGAACAAGTAAATTATATCAATTTCACGGAGTTATTATGCAGCTATAAAAAATGAGAGTCCTGGGCTGGCCCCGTGGCGCACTCGGGAGAGTGCGGGGCTGGGAGCGCAGCGACGCTCCCACCACGGGTTCGGATCCTATATAGGAGTGGCCGGTGCGCTCACTGGCTGAGCGCGGTGCGGGTGACACCACACCAAGGGTTGCGATCCCCTTACCAGTCACGAAAAAGACAAAAAAAAAAAAAAAAAAAAA